AATGAAATTGTCATTTTTAATAATAAACGTGAAATTCAATTTCGCGTGTAATACGATTCTCTCTCTAAAATTTTCTTTTTCAATCTCTTTATATTCTTTTTCAATCTCTTTTTATACTATACTAATATTACAAAGAAGAAAGATTTGATTGTGTGGCGTAGTGGATGAGCGTCGCGGCCTGCGATCGTTGTTGTTAAGCAACTTTAGAAACGGTCGGTCACGGGATGTTCGAGCAAAAAATTATGGTCTTGAGCTCCATGCTTCGGAGAGCACGTTAAGTAGTTCGTCCCAGTTGCATTTGCAGTCGTTAATACCCTCCAACCCGCATTGGGCCAACGAAGCCCATCCTCCTTGGCAATCCATAAGAAAGGCCTGCCCTGCGATTCTGTAAAAATTCAGACCCGAATTCGAATTCATATCTCCGAATTCACATAATTTAGTGTAGAAATTATATTGATTCCATTTTTTGTATAAATTACGATATAAAAATGTATTGAATATACGTGTCTCAGAAACTCACTTCACGTATGCGACGAAACGTTATTATCAATTCAAGGTTGAGCGGATGCAGCTTTTTGAAGTGATTCGACCACCTGAGTGAATTCGAATCCGGGTTTGGATTTTCACAGAATCGCAGGGCCGCCCTGCATTGAGAATATAAAAGAGCTGATGATGGTGATCGAACAGGCTCCGAAACTAATAGACCGATGTTAAAAATTGTTTCACCTACGTGAGGCTACATCATACACGGGTGTCATTAGCATATAGGTAGAAATATACGTAGGCAAAGTGACATTAAAACGACTAGTAATTATTAAAACTTTGTAAAAAAAGCTGCTGTTATCCACATGAAAATATTTATGTAATAATAATCCTTTTTAATGAAATATGCATAAAAAGTCCCTGGCACCCTGAGATGAGACTCGAACCCATGACCTATCGCAATCGAGGCGACTGCTCTAACCATTGAGCTACCCAGGAACAGGACTGATGAATTTTTAAAGCACTTGTTACTTTATTATATTCGATTAATTTTACATTCACAATGCTATACTGTAAAGTAGCAAGCAATATTCTAAATGAATAATGCTTAAAAATCTCGGGTTGCCAAGTGAATTAAAAAAAAAAAACATTTTTCACTTGTTACTTTTTCGCTACTACAGAGCATATTTTCGTTAATGTTCAGGCATCCACCCAAACAGCCGAAAGAAACATTTAAACTTGCTCAAAAAATGGAAATTTGTTCTTTGTTCTAATTATTATATTTCATAATAATAATCGTTTCGTTTTTCTACGCAAAGTTGGACTACAAATTGTAATTGTAAATATTCCATTAATATATTGACTTTATGCAGCAATCGTGTTATTCTGTTTCCCAAAGGTTTAATGGTGATGGTGCTATGCTATTCGCATTAAGTCCGCCTATTGTACCAATTGAATGGCCAATAAAGTTTGTTAAATAAATTTTCTCATCGTCAATGATAAGAAAAAGTCTGCAACTAGTCCCCAAATAATGATACGTGGTGCGTCCAAGAATTTCGATAAATCACAACTACACGATGACAAAGATTTGTGCGAGGTCCACGCGTGTGTCCCACGCATTATTCGATATTGAACGCATTCCACTAATCTCATCTGGATCCTGAAAAAAAACTATCGCTATCATCTATATCGCTTCATTTCATTCTTGAAAAAAATATTGCGTATCAATAAAACCCTTTCCAATTAAACTCAAGTTATTCGATTTTTCGATCTCAGTGGCCGAGTGGTACGCACGCCCACCGGTTTCAGGTGTCGCTCTTTCTCAGGTCCCGAGTTCGATTCCCATTCAAGATAATAAGGAAAACTAACTTTAGTGGTAACTTTGGTACCGAGTGTTTTAGTAACTTCGTTGTCTCAGGTAATCCACAACATAAGCACTTTAGCTACTCGTCTTGGAACCTGAGCAATGTATATGTGATGTTATCTAATATTTATATTTACTTATTTATTCATATCTTAATGCCTTATTTACACTGATCTGAACTACATTGATTTACACGGGTCAGAACTAGGGTTGCCAGATGGTCGGGATTCGTCTGGATTGTCCAGACATTTCGTATGATGTCCAGAGTCCCGAAAAAAACAAATATGTCCAGACAAAAATTGTTAGATTTGGTAAAATCGCAATACAAATATAAAAAAATAAAATAGCACACATATCATAAAAAATATAATGAGTAGACATATTAGCTGTTAAAATGTTATACTATTAATAAGTAATCTTATAAATTGACAAAAAAGTAAATACTTGTAAAATTTTAAATTTAATTAATTAAAAGTAGATTTTTTTAGCTTTTTTGTCCCGAATGTGATCCCAAAATCCCGACTTTATCATAGTTTGTCCAGATATTTTAGTCTCACTATCTGGCAACCCTAGTCAGAACGCAGATTGCGAGCGACCTCTGCACGCACATCTCATTGGCTAATAAAACAAAAACTGACCAATGAAAGCCAGTCTCAGAAATGAGGAAGTATTAAAAAAAAACGAAAGTACTAAAAAAGCACCTGCACTAAATGGCGACTCTGGCAAAAGTTGATTTTTGCACGAAACGAATGGACCAAAGAAAGTCATTTCCGTTCTTTTTAACTAACATTTTAAAAAACTCAATTTGAAAAGTTCCAACTTAAATATCAATACGATAAAGTAGAAATAGAATATGAGTTGTTTATTGAGTTTTGAAAAGTAATTTACTTTTAAACATGAAAGAAAACCGGAAGGGCTGTGATGGATTAATTTATTTCTTTTAGTACTTTTAGATCTTTGGTCCATTCGTTTCCTGCAAAAATCAACTTTTGCGAGAGTCGCCATCTAGTGAGGCACTTTTTTTGGTGCTTGCTTTTTTTAAAAATCTTTCGCCAACGCTTTTTTCTTCTTTATCACAGGGTACCACTATAGAGAAATGCCATAATTGACGTCATTCTGCTGAATCTTCGAGATCACCGCTTTTATTCCCATTTTCAAAAACAAAATATTTATAACTGGTCTCCAACGTTTGTTCAAGTTGACTGGTAGAGAATACCTTAGGCACTAAGTTCAATTTTAATTTTTTGTTTTTTTTTTCTATAAAATATTAATTTATTATTTTTTATTTTATGAAACAGTAATAAGTCGAGGCCTTTACTTGTGAATCGAAAACGACATTAGGTTGGTCACAGAAAAAAAAAATCCTTTGTACTAAACAGTGGCGTAGCTAGGTAACCTAGGGCCCTGGGGCAAATAAAAAAATGGGCCCCACTGCTATCAAAACTAGTAAGTTTTTTTGAAGTAAAATCATTAAATATACAAATACTTTAAAAATGCTAAGCAACTTTATCATCAGCTCTTTTTCGTGCATTCGGGCAGGTAATAAAACTATTAAACACTAACAACATAAATTACAATTATTGTTATACTTGGTAGGTATTGGGCAATAAAACGAAATAGAAAAGATTCAAGGGATTATTATATATTTATTTATTCATAGATACGTTACACCAGCTTACTGTTACTTAACCTATCGCCCTGCAAGCTATTTACAAAAATTATCAATAGAAATATTTTCTCCAGAAGTACTTGCATAAGGCTGACTAAAAAACTTGTAAATTTTAGGCAATTTTTGTTTACTTTCTTCTCTTTCTTTTCGTTGTTTGCGTTTAAATGCACCACTGGGTTTCTTTTTATTTGACCATAATATTAGTTTTCTAATTTATTTATGCAATATTTATGTAAGATTGTACTCAAGTAGGTACTCACTGTTCACTGACAACGTTAAAAGTAAAAAGAGGAAAGCGAAACGTAATGATACGATACAAGACGTCGTTGGGGAATCCCCTGCAACCATTTTATCACCGCCAGTGTTACCACATTTGACGGTTTACAAAATGACAAAAAAACATCACGTAATTAATGGACGGCCCCCTACCGCATGTGACTTGTATTTTTCACTTTTGAGTTATATAGTAAGTAGCCGAAATCTATAGATTTCTTTACGTAACTATGTAGGTATACGTACTATAATCAAATAAAATTGAACGTTTGTATGGACCAGTACAAAAAAAATTATTGACATACGTTTACTTACTCCTGATACATTAACTTTTTAACCATTCTCGAAAAAAAATCTTGACTCGAAGTTCACAATCGCGAATCACAAAAACGCATATCGATAAATAATAATATGCAGATATTGATATCCGACAAATTGATGAAAACATTAATAACACTGTCAACCCACACAAATAATTTAGGGGAATTCCCTTTTTATAACTTTGGAATTTCTCACAACCGAGTTGCCATGATTAAACTCGAGTTGTCACCTGTGATATTTATTGACAGGTGACAAGTCGATTGACAGGTTGAAAATGGGAGAAATTTTCAAAAATTGAGTTCGACTGAGATTTTCTGTTAAAGATTCGAGGGCCCCCTGAGCTTGAGGGCCCCGGGGCACTGCCCCGCCTAGCCCCTTGGTAGCTACGCCACTGGTACTAAAGAATTAATTTAGCCTAACTTTGGTTTACAATAGTGATGGACTTTTAAGAGCAATCGAAAAATTAAATATCATCAGATCATATAAATTTTACTTTCAATGTTAATGTGGAGTCATGACATAAACAGCCTATCGACATACTATCAGATTACTACTGCTTTTAACTGTTCACCAACTCGTTAACAGTTTGTGTTCCAACTTTGCTTCTTATTCATTGCCGTGAGAAAGAAAATATAATATAATCTTAATTGGAAAATTTTCCTGTCCTTAGCAATTCTCAGTTCCCTCTAAATAGTTTTGATTGAAAAATACCTACTTGAGACATAACAAGAACATACGTATAATCTTAAGAAAACTTCACGATAAATCCAAACACCAAATTAATAATAAACATATATACCAATAGTAATTTTTAATCGTCAAAACTAGTAAATAACAGGAAGGAAATATTTCATACATTAAATTATAAAACCTCAAAAACAAAGTTCTGTCTCACTCACACTCCGCTTCGTGGAGAAGGATGGCACGACGCACATATCTGAAGTGATAAAAGCTGAATACCACAACAAACGAAAAGAAGTACACAGCTGTAATCAATAAATAAAATAAATATTAGACTATAATATTTATACTAACTACTAACAAGACTAACGAATCTTTCAAGCACTTGTTACTTTTTAGCTATTACAAAGCGTTTTTTCATCAATGCTCAGGCCCAAACAACCGAAAGAAATATTTTTACAAATACGTATTCTCATCGATAAATGATTTTTTTTTTCTAATTATTATATTTGATCTGTACTGTGCTAGGCACAAAGTTGCTTTTTAAGCATTTTTCATTAAGAATATTTTTCAGTACCTACAGCACAGTGAAAATAGATCAAATAGTTATAATAATTCTGTTAACGTTAACGTAACTATTAAAAGGCACAGTTCTTGTTACTTGATTACAAAAGCAGCTAGTATTATATAATTTTGATTGACCTGATATTTTAAAATTGTAAATTGAACTACAAATGACTTAGATTCTTTACAAGTTTGACTTTGTTTTATTATTATATCTTAACATGAATATAATTTTTGTAATCTAATCTTGTAAGTGCATTGTATAGTATCATTAAGAACTTACCAGCTCCAAGGAATGTAAACAATCCGCTGACACAAGCTAGATTCGCGAGCCGGTGTCGCTCATCTTTAATCTTAGGCGCTGAAAAAAAGGACAAGTTGCATACACACACAAGACCTGCATGAAAGTGTAGACTGCCCACCGCTATCGATGAGCATGACTTCTAAACAGGCCGAGTTGTAGAAATCAGGTACTGCTAAGGTTAAAGAAGTTGAGAGAAGTCATCTATTTCCAAAAATTAGGGGTCTAGTTCTTATTTTAGAGAGTCTAGGACTCGAACCGAGAAAAAGGTGTACCGTAGAGTTTTAAGAGCTTTTAGAGCCCAATGCACTAGATGAGCTCACAGATGAAAACTTGAACCTATTTATTCTCGCAACGAAGTGTCAAACATTTTTTCCAGGATAAATAGGCATTTTTTTGATTTATTTACAATGGGCTCACTCTTGACCTCAATCTAGCCTAAGCACATAGATGAAATCTACGGTGAGACGAGCTTGCCCAGAAGGAACCTTTTCACTCTTGCCTTATATAAGTCTGGATTATATGTACTCGGGAATATAGACGTCGGCAGAGAGTTCCACACCTTGGCGGTGCGCAATAAAAAGAAGAATAGGCATAAATAGGCATGGCAAGGCAAAGAATTTATTATTTAATAAAGCAGGTTAATTGCACTAAAGCCACCTAAAATAGATGGATCCAGTATTCTGCGACTAGGACGCTGACCAAGATCCAAAGTACTGCCAAAGATCCAAAGTAACCTTGGTTAGTCGACTGTTAAAGAACTTACTTCATCGCTCCATCTGCATTTAATATTTATATTCAAATGTTGCTAACGCCGTTACCTTTTATACATACACGGGAGCAGTAGGTGCAAAATCACCGGACGCTTAATATAAATGTTTCATAAATACCTTAATTTTAACCTTTATGGTTCAACCATCTTAAGAGTCGTCGAGAAAATATCTACATTTAAATCTTATTTATTTAACATCTACTTCAAAATTAGAGACACTAATTCTGCAATTTATATATATCAGTGAGGCTTCCAATTCAGTTTTCATTGTTGTAGTATATTTCTTGAGAAAGGCTTATATCAGTGTGAATTAAGGTTGAGTCGCTACTTTATTTACTACTTAATGATTAAACGAACTTACCAAGTGAAGTTCTATCATAATTATACGAAGCGCCTCGTTCGAAGAGATTAGTATTTATTTGATTAGATTATATTACTAGTAGTATCGCATATGTGTCACTACTCCGGCACTATAGTTGAGATTTCTTTGCATTTGCTTTTTTTTTTTTTTTTATTGCGAGGGTAGTTCTCATCTTCTTAGTCGATACCGTTCCCTGCCATCTTCATTAAGTTTAGAGATAGATCTGGCTTATTGATGTATTTCCGGAGAACTTAGTATTGGGAATAATGTTCACAGGGTTGGGCGGGTTTACTAATCTCTTCGAACGAGGCGCTTCGTATAATTATGATAGAACTTCACTTGGTAAGTTCGTTTAATCATTAATTATACTTCGCGCCTCGTTCTCGAGATTAGTATTTATTTGATTAGATTATATTACTAGTAGACTTTGAGAGTGTTGAAAAATAGATTAAGGAAATATCATCAATAAATGACGATAACTTGCTTTTTATATATATAAGTATTTATTAATTATTAACAAAAAAAGAACATAAAGAGAATTGTTCAATTTTGGCTTTTGGTGGACAAGCTAATAAGTAAAAAATATGTAAACAGTAAATTATTATTAAAACTGAAAGAAAATTATTTTTAATACTCTCGTCATGGGAAACTAAACATTAAAAATATCACATAAAAAAGTATTTTTTGGATTCGGATGTGTTTTGTTAACATATTTCACTGTGTTTCCATATCAATAAATGTTATTGATGTACTATTACTAATAGTATCGATTAATCGATAAGTTTTAACTTTAATAAAAATGAAAGTAATTAAAGTATTTATATATAAATACATATACATTAGGTAATCTTTTGCAATATCATGTATCAACCTATCCTTCCAAAGAACGAGGCCACCATTTTTTTTCCCGCACTTCGATCTCTCTTCACTTTAGTTGGCAACTCCTCGAAAGGAAACACCCACTGAGCAGATTGTCTTTTGGTTTTAGGATCATAACAGTAAATCCAGCTTTCGTCACCTGTTAGTATGTCGAACACAGCATTTGAGTCACCTCCGTTAAATCTTTCAATCATTTTACGACACCAATCCACACGATGGAGTTTTTGAGCCTCAGTCAAATTATGAGGTATCCACCGGGCGCAAAGCTTCCTGACCGCTAAATGTTCGTGGAGGATTTTGTGCACTTGACTCATACCGATGCCTAAGCTTGTCCGAATCTGTTGATAGGTCACTCTTTTGTCAGTCTCTATCATACGCCGCACAACACAGATGTTATCTTCAGTCGTCGCCGTAGAAGGCCGTCCCTCACGAAAATCATCAGTGAGATTAGTGCGACCACGTTTAAACTCATTAAACCAGTTGTAAACAGTCGTATATATTAAAAACATAAGAAATAATCCTTTTCGGTTAGATATATAAGTTAATTTACACAAACTATTGATTACTTTTTAATTGATTAATAATTTTTATAAGGCAGTACCATTTCACTGTTGTCAACAAAGACATTTGAGTGATAATGATAATTCTTACGTTTTGATTTTGTTGTTACTTTCGACCAATTTATTTATTAACCTCTCGAAATGATGACCCGGCTATACCAATGGACACCAAACCAAGCACAAGTAGAGGACATCGTCGGCAGCTTTGTATAAATTGTGAAAGATCTATATTACGTACTAGATCACATCTGCAAAAAATATCCGTCAAAGAAACACATTAGTAATATAATTATTAATTGGATATCCCCACGACAGGTAGGATTATAGTTATATTTATTTATTTTGATTATTTCACCATAATTAAGCTTCCTTTATGACAAGTAAAACATTAATATATCGCTGCCATATCGTTTAAGTAACATTTTGTTTACAAATAATTTAATATTATATTATACTCTTTAGGTGTATGGCAGATCCATATCGCGTCTGTCATCCATGTTAGCAGCAAGCAGATATAATATTCCGGAACCTATACAGATCATTACCGGATTATAAAAGAGCACTTGATTCACAAGTATATTGTTTTGTTCCTGGTTGCGACTCGCCACAGCGACTGACCATTCCCACATGGTATCAGGTAAAATTGTTTATTATTTTTGCCTTATTATTGTAAAAATAGTGAAACTAGTTTGTGAGCTTTGTGCCTCTTATCCTTACTTATATTATAAACTAGAAAAATTTGATTGTTAGTTGAGCTTGTTAACAAACTTCGAAACTACAAGACTGATGTAAAATAATCCTTTTGCTTAAGGGAAGCTACATCAGGATGATATAGGCTACTATTTACATGTGCGAAGGCGTGGGAATACTGTACCTGTTGTTCAACATTTAATGTTAATTTATTTTTTAATAGTAATGTACAAATGTACTGGATAGGTGTTTTAAAATAGTTCTTTCTGTTAATAGACGCAGATGTAAATGTGAGTCTACAGCCACTCCAAGGCGAAGAGTTATTCTCGAGGGTGAGCACAAATTAGGAGAAAAGTTGTGTTTGACTGCAAGCACACGTCATGAGAGGCCATGGAAGATTTAACGATAAGGACATCATGTGACCAACTTATATAAATGTAGCTGCTTTTTTGACCACCCGAATGCCAGCCTCCAGCTGAAGACAAACTGTATGAGCAGTGTAACTTATTTATTAAGTGATCATGTAAAGTCTATTCTTATAAATATGTTTAGAAGTACTGTCTTTTGCTTGTAGAATTGTATTGTCAAATTAAAGGTAAATATGTGTAAATCTACAATTTTTTTATTTAACCATCTCTGCTTCTTATTTCTAACCTTAAGATATGAAATATTGAAAAATAATGTTTTTTATAACTGTAGATAATGTCCACCCAAAGCCAAAGTGCCCATACAAACTGAACAATTCCTTTTGACATTTATTTCCATTCTAAATTATAGTATAGGTAGTAATTACGAAATTTTGATACACTGATTTATTTACTTAATGGTCAATAATTGATTGGGCTAATGATGTACAACCATGATTATGAATAGGCCTGTTGTAAAATCGTGCGAACACGGTAGAGTTGCCCCTCCAGCCCGCAGTATTACGGATCGCACTGACGGCTTTTTAGTACCTATAAACAGAGCATCAGATTTTCTTAAGGGAGTTTGTCTCATTAATATAACATAGTAGTGTTTTTGCTGGACACACATTTGGCCTACTGTTGAAAAATGGTAGATAAAGTATTGGTTGCTCACGACCTGGTTTTGAAGTATTAATAATTTGTGGTATTTTAATAACAACCTGACTGAGATACGTGTATGTTTTTGATTTCGATTTTTGACAACGTTTGCATTCTATGTGCTGTAGTTAATGCCAGTAAGGTTAATGTCTTTTTAGTCAATTGCTTTAACGTTAGGTCCTCATTTGGGAACCATTGGCTTATCTGATCTAAAACGCAATTCGTATCCCATGTAAAGTTATACTTTGGAATGGGTGGTTGAAGACGAAACACACCTTTAAGAATCTCTGAACTCCCTATGTGTGATCCTAATAAAAAAGATAAGGCAGATCTGCATGAATTCAATGTACCGAATTGACCACCATCGTTAAACAACACATTAAGGAAGTAAATAGCGGTAGGGACTGAAGCTGTAAATAAGTCAATGGAATTATTATTGCAAAAGGTCCACCATTTTTTTTTTTTTTTTTTTAAGTATACGTCATATTGACTGAGTGAATTAAGGATAATGATGCTAACATTATATCCAAGGAGGGAGTTGGTAAGCTCCTTCTTGATAACGCGTTCCTGGTAAGGTTGCCGCCACCAGGGTAATCGATTCGTGAATCCTTCGGGAATATATTCAGTAGCGACGTCGTCCCTGTGTTTGAGACGGTGGCGGGTGGCGGTGGTGGCGGTGGTGGCGGCGGCAGCGGTTGCGGACGCGGCCATTGCCTTGGGGAGGTAATCTGCGCGGGAATGCAGGCTCGCGATTCCTCTGCGATGGGCCTGGCTGCCTGTACGCCGGCCCGGGAGCTTTCCGGTTAAACTGATTCTGATTAGATATTTTTTGCTGTTTACTTATATTTTTTGTAGAAGGGTCAGCCTTTAATTCGATTCCAGACTTGTTTATTGATTTTACTGTCATAAGAGTTTCAGTCAATGTTTCGCCGAATTTGTTTTTTTTTTTTTTAATGAAAACATTATAAAGTTTCTTCTAGTAACTGAATCGCTATGTTGAATATTGCACAGTAAACGACTGCGGTCCATTAGCTAAAGCAGTTATTCTATACTCTAAGTAAAACTTTGAGTTAAGATGAGCAATAATTATTTCTCCAAGACAAGCAATAGCACTGGCCATTTGCGTTTGTTTACCCTCTATGCCTTTGTCCCTCTTAAGAGTATTTTCAAGTATGCCAGCCTTGATTTCAGGGTTAAGTTTTGGAGCACTAATAAGAGAGCAATTAGCAGCAATTGGGTACTTCGCTATCAGCTCCTTACGGATATCCTTATTAAGCCCCTCTATGGTAATATGAGTTAGTCGACAAGCGAGTTATGTCGGATATCATTACCCAGCTTCTCTAAGTGCGAAGGATCTTCGCCGAGAATTTAAAGGATATCGGTGTCCAGATCATTTTCGTTATGGACCCCTTCTTGGGGCCGTAACACTGACTCGACAGGTGGTTCGTTAACGGTCGTCGCGTCGACACAGTCATCCTCAGTGTATAGTATAAGTTTTGAATGTCACTGATACCAATCATGGATTGTGGATCATCGTCATAATGAGGTTGTTCTAATAACCAATCACTCGGCACCATAGGTGGGGTGGCAGAAAGATAAGAAAATCGCTTGAGATTTTCATTCATATTATGACTATGACGATCATAGTCATCCATAAAAGTATGCGACGAATCAACCCCAACGGCAGTTCAGGTGCATACTTTTTGTTTTAACGTAAATACGTTATAGTCTGATAGGTACGATATGTACAATAGCACTTTTAGATAACGATAGTTATCTTGTCAAAGTTAGGTAGATCCCCAATGGATTGAACGCTAACTGATTTACTGAATGCGTTGAATAAGCCCCAATGACTTTTCTGATTGCATTCCGTACCCATAAATTCGGGCACAAGTCACTAACTGAACTTTCCTTATCACATAATTTTTGTTCTAATTTACGCATTTTCTTTTGAGGATGTTTTAACTCTTCTTCACATGTTCTAACTTTCGTACGTTTCGGCATTTTAACGATCTGTTATACACGTTATTGGGAATACGACCGGAGCAGTCGGGCACTATAAAGCGAATGAAGATGGCAGGGAACGGTATCGACTAAGAAGATGAGAACTACCCTCGCAATAAAAAAAAAAAAAAAGCAAATGCAAAGAAATCTCAACTATAGTGCCGGAGTAGTGACACATATGCGATACTACTAGTAATATAATCTAATCAAATAAATACTAATCTCGAGAACGAGGCGCGAAGTATAATGGTACGAATAGCTACTACGCCTCCAAAGAAACGCATTTTTCGATAATTTATAATGAAACAGAAATAGGACACTACCTCTGATGCTTAGAACATCATTCACGGACATGATTTTATTGAAATTACAAGAAAGATTTGAAATTTTTCCGAAAACAATTTTTTGTGATTGAGTAGTACAAAATCTATTTTTTAATGATAACTCACCATCTTTAAACCTGATGCAAGAACGGCTGATTTTAGTCATGGCAAGAGATACTATCCCTATCCAGACCATGACAGCCACAAGTAGATAAACCTGACACAAAAAATGCCTTTTATTATTGTACCTATAATGCACTTACGTTAACGTATGATGTAGTTTCCCGTAGATGTAAGAATTTTAAAATCGAATATTGATCGAGAGGTACCAGGGACAAAGTGGATTTTTAGCATTTTTCATTAAGAATATCTATACAGTAATTTCGGAGCCAATACAATGCAAACAAACAATCAAATCTATCCTCTTTATAATGTTTTTCTTTAAGCATACAGTACTGTGAATGCAAAAATAAATAAATATAACAATAGTATTAATTTGAATGTTTACAAATTATTCGTATGAAATAATACGCGCTTTTCACATACAAATTAATTTATTTTACACTTTTAAAATTTCAATGATTCGATTCTTCAATAAAACTGCCCTGTCCGGGCAGTTGGAATAGAATTTCACTAGTACAATCAAAACTTTTACACGTTCATAACTCAATTCATAATTTAGTTTAAATCCTAGCGAATCCGATGCGAACGCAATTTGTTCCAACTATTTTTGAAACTAAAATAGGTTCGTGGTTTGTAATAACGTTAAAGTAACTGTTACTTTGTTATTACAACGCATAATTCTTTTATACGAAGCTGCCGCATTTTCAACGCTTAAACAATGAAGAGAAATATAAACAGTTATGTATATGTGGAGAAATAAGAAACAGTTATGTCTTCAATGAGAAAGTATTAAAAAAAAAATAGTTCCCGGAATCAAACTATATGTCGCTAGGGTACGTTCTTGGTTTCTCCATGACAACCCTCCCGGTTTTCTTTTATGTTTAAAAGTAAATTAGTTTTCAAAACTGAATAAACAACTCATATTTTATTTGTACTTTTTCGTATTTGTATTGATATCTTAATTAGGAACTTTTCAAATTTCAGTTTTTTTAATAAAAAGGAACGGAAATGTCTGTCTTTGGTCCATTCTTTTCATGCAAAAATCAACTTTTGCTAGAGTCGCCATCTAGTGGAGGTGCTTTTTAGTGCTTTCTTTTTTTTAAATACTTCCTCATTTCGTTTTCAATTGCGTCATCCGCATTGGGCCAGCATCGAAGGATATGATCCACCCTCCTTAATCATTAATAAGGAAAGCCTGAGCCCCTGCACTGGGGACGTAAAAGGGCTGATGTTGATGCAATAAAAATCGAATTTTATAATATTTGTAAGAGGATAATGGTAACTACCAAAGAAGAATAAGCTTAAAAAAAACAAATTCTAAAACTACCTAATTTTCACGTTACATACAACCTAATAAATGAACCTATTACTATTACAACTTTTCAGGGTTTCTAGTGTCAATAAGCAATTGTTAATTTCATTTTAACTTACGAGCATCGCACGACAGTTTTCAGTCAGGGCCACTATTATCAGCAATACACCAGCACCAGTGATTCCACTCAACACAGCACCACTCGCAATGCTCATGACTAGGAAAAACATAAATTCATCATCGTGACTATTCCTCGCCAATAAGACTTATCGCCCACGACAAAGATTAAACAAATATGTTAAATAGAATCAAGGTTCCCAAATAATACCTATCAGAAGCATGCTCTGTTGATTCGGACATTTGATAAGAATTTCAAAATTGATATACTGAACGCAAAAAGCCAAATTGGGTCAGTCATTTTAAAACAAACATATATAATAGCGAATGCGGAACCTCCCAGATATTATCTAAAAAGATTTCATTCATAGACCCTGAACTTCTACTTATAAAACGTATCTGTATCAATCGACAAAAGAAAGAATTTTCTCTTTTTGTAATGTTTTATATTTTAATGGCAGATTTAATGTTTTATAGTTCATAGCAGTGGCGTAACTATACCGTTTGAGGCCCTTGGCAAATTCATCGGATATTCATTTTTTTTTACTAATTGCGTAATAATAAATGTCAGGAATAACGAGCCTCCTCTGACCGGGGGCCCATTCCAACTGTAGTTACGCCACTGCTTCATAGTCTAATGAAGTCATTTTTGAACTGAACTTCTCTATAGGAAAAAAACCGAGAATAATGTAGCCCCTGCTCATTCTTACCGGTTCTTCTTAATGCCAGTAAATTTGTAAACTGATAATATGGCTTTTGACTTTCACAAGTGCTTGTAACAGTGATATGAATTTTGAAAAATATCACACTCCTTAAAAACTCAATGGCGCTGTGGTTAACGAGCTCCGTCTGTGATACGGTTACGAAACAACTTTCGCAATATGCGGTCGTAGGATGGGTGACCAAAAATGTATTATCTTTAGCTCCTCCGTGCTTCGGAAGGCACATTAAGCCAATGGTTTCGGCTGCATCTGCAGTCACTAACGCCCACCATTCGCACTGGGCCCACGTCATGTCATGGATCATTCTCCTTCATTCGATTTAATTCGATTCCAACCATATATAATACTCGAGCCACCAGCAATGGGGGCTTTAATAAGCTGGTGATGATGATGACTCCTTAAAATAGCCAGAAAACCTCAAACTTACACTGAGATGTAGCCGTCTGATGCATCTCATCATATTGTTTTCCGTGGGTCAAGATCAGAGTGAGAAGAATAGATCCAACCAAGACTTGGCAGAATGCGATGAGGATTACGCCCGGGAATAGATTGCATACTCCACAGCAGCTCTCGAAGTGACATCCAGGCTTGTGAACGGAAAAGTGTAGGGGGACATGGGTACTGCTGCTCCTACTTCTATGCTTATCACTAGACTTCGTCGCCTCCTCTGTGGTGCTCTTAGTCATAACTCAGTTTCGTTCTTAAGAAAGATATTATGACAATTTATAACATTTACAACATTAGGCCAACACGGTGTGACAGATCAAAACGTACTGTTTAAAATCTCTTTGTAGAGCTCCAAAGAGTAAACTACATAGCTATCATGTATTTAGTTGATCTAAGTGTATTTAAAGCATGAACTTAGTACTTATAACAGGATTTATAACTCTGAAAAATTGAAATTACAAAAATGAATCTTACCAATATAATTTAAAGTATTACTTTTCATTGTTTTTTGTACAAAAGCTAATTCGACCCGAGAGAGATAGTCACAACGGAGGCCGTGTGTCTCGTTCTCATATTTACCAAACAATTTTTTCAAAATTCAATAAATTTTTAATTATGAAGTAAAAACTATATGTGTTTACGATTTTGCGTGCACGTGAACAATTGGTTAGCGCGTTTAATCTGCGCGCGTTAAATCAAAGAGGTATTTCTTCTTTTTTTTTATTAATTTTTAAGGTAACAATGAAACCTCCTCATCCTAAGACCTCATCCAAGTAGTTGAGATTCTATTGAGATATGCTTCTTACGTAAACATTAGCAGAATTGGCCTGATGCTTTTTTAACCACGTCACGCCCTTTTTGCGTTGATATAGTCATCATATTCCGGCGAAAGAATTTTCACGTCCCTTTGGTCAGTCCTTAGTCGTGTAGCTGATGGTCTAATCTTTCTCCTTTTGTTTGTTGCGATGGAAAGATATTTCCTCACAACATAATAATCTGGTGTACGCATTACATAGCTATACCAACTGAGTCTAGATTCAACGATTTTTTTAGCATGATTGGAACCACCTTTAGACTATCTCAAATATATTTATTACGAGTACGAACTTTGTCATTGAGTGTGCCACACTCGACCAACATTTTCATGTGTAACATCCACGTCTATCACGACATCGTCTGATATTACAGATCCAAGATAATTTTTTAAGTTAACTTGTGGCAGCTTAATGTTATCAATGATATCAGCATCAGGTGGATGTACATGATTAATGTGGCAGACAATGTTTTCTGTTTTGACCTCCGTATTGACTTCTCGTAGTGGGTTATAGGTCATTCCCTAGAAATAGGGATATTAATAGGCCGGTCATGTTTTTTTCACTAAGCAAATGTTGGCTACTCACCGGAAACGTTAATGATGCACTGTCATCGAAGTCATAGCGTTCATAATAACGGTATACCTATCATTATTACTCATTAGACCACAATAATTGATTTTTAATGAGCACTCTGTACAGTTAACGGCATATTTTAATTTCAAAATAGAAGAAAATAATGCAAACATAAAAATGTCTTGCGCTATAAACGGCCTTCTAACGAATCGGTGATTTCTTCGAAGCAACCTATACAATAACTTGTTTAAAAAAAAACACTAACTTTCAACTGGTTTTCTGCAAAAAAAACGTCCAAATAACCTTATAATTAAATGAGAACTACATGATCAAATAGTTCCGCCACAGTCAAAACGAAAAAAAACAAAATTTATAAAAGTTTCTAGGCAGAAAAAAATTACAAATTTATCATTAAAAACCATCATTTTCTAAATGACTTCAAAATCGAATAGGAGAATCTATATTCGGCAAGAATTTTCTTATTCATCGATTCGTTCATCGATTTCTGGGCTTATTGTACATACACCGATTTTTAGGAAGTTAATGTTCCGGAACTTGTAGAAACATGTACATTTATCATAACTACCAATATTATGTACAAATATTACGCCCATTACTGAGTCTGCAATGTAATTGTATATACCATTTATTACCATAAAATGACGTCAAATATGTTTTTTTTCTTATTTATGTTAGTAATATTGTTAATATTGCTTCATTCTACGAAAACTGCGAAAAGGGTGAGAATACATTTTTGTTGTTTTAAATGAATCATCATAATCACAATAAGTTCATGTTCGTGGTATTCAAAACATACAAATTCTCAGACTAGCCTCAGAGTTCCATGACTAGACTCACAGAGTTCCATGTCATTAAGGAAATCCGTAAGTACTCTTGAATCGGTTTACCTATATTATTCCTTTATTTTGTCTTGATTCCGTCAAATAAAAGGGCTTAACTAGTAAACTTTGTTTTGAAAAAAAATGTATTCTTTTTTTATTTTAACGGTTTAATTGACGATAATGTACTTAAAGCTAAAAAATAATTTGGTAGGTCCCAGATTCCAGTCACCACACCACTCATTGTCATAATTCAAAATCATTGATCAGACAAAAAATAAAATCGTTGGGCCCCTGTTTCCATACAACCCAACTTAGTTTACGCAGCGCCCTTTACTTTATTTTCCACCACTTTTGACTTTTAAATGATGAAAAAAAAGGTATGGTGACTGAATCCTGAGACCTACTAAAGAATTTTGTTAATACATTATTGTCTATAAAACCGTTTAAATCACAAAAAATTACATATTAATTTACATTTTCATACATGTTATACAAGAATATTGTATAACATACATATCAATCCACCAGATTTTTTTATATCAATGTTAAATATTTTTATCTGTAAGGATACCATAATAAATAAAATACAATATTAACAGGGTCCGTTCAAGACGAGAATAATATCTTTAAAGAACTGCAACAAGACAAGTTTGCCGCTTATGACCACAGAGTTCGGCCCTGTAGACTCGATCCACTTGGAGCTATACAACACCACCAAAAAAATTAACCTGCTCAGAGGGAACTATACATTCAAACAACCCCGCAATGGTTACTTGGTATTTCTTTTTCGTCGTATTATATCTTTCAACTTTACGCCATGCTCTTGCTCTCTCTTCTCCTCCCGCTGGAGGAATACCTGATGGGTTTAAGGCAATCGATAGGGTAGAGGGGGAACCTTAATTGGGTTCCAAACTGGTGTTTGGTCCGAAGCTCTCCTTGCAGGACCCCGAAAGTTCGCCGCCCGCCCCCCTCTTAATTACTCATTTATGAAGTAGATTACAAAGATGTTTACAAACACATTACTACTCAAGATCACCCAATGTAAGTACCCGAAAGCTGTACAGTCAGATACAACTGATATGATATGGCTCATACACTGTACAATCGACAAAACGTCTAACGTTGCGTCGAATTTCTCCAGTAGATTTTAAACTTTATTCATTATCAATAAAATTCAAAAGCAATTGAAGAAATTTGAGATATTGTGATAACCAGACGTACAGCTGAATGTACAATGCTACTTTTTTCTTTATAAATACGTTTCTATTAACGATATGATGCCTAAAAAAATCTATACATTAAAAGCAAACTTATCCAATAGATTAATTAAAGATTTAATTATGACATTTCTTCAAGATAAAGATTCATGGATACACGTGGAGAGACAGCAAATGGAAGCCTTACGTCTATTTTCCAGATTTAGACTGCAAACATACGATCTTCAAACACTTGATTAAAATGTATTTGAAGAACTTTAAGTACGACCCCAGCACTTGTACCATTCCAAAGGTTAGACAATCGCACTAACTGTGAAACTACTATAAATCTAGCAGCTTCTACATCCAATCAGTATCTGCAAGTGTGGCAACACGTAATTTGCCCCCGTGATCGTCCCGCTAACGTAAACCCCAACGCTACCGTTATCCCTAGCTGAGTGGTAAGTGTAAGTTTTACGCTAACACGTTCACTAGTGAGCGCTTTAAGAATTTGTATGGAGATTTGCAGTTCTTGGTAGTGAACGCTAGGGGCGCTGCACAGTGGAAAATGGTAGAACAAGAGCATATCAAAAGTACTTTTTACGAATATCATAATTTGTTTGATTTTGTGATTTTATTAGGATCTCAAATAATCTAATTATAATATTTATTAAGTTTTTTTATCGAAAATGCACGAAGTTACATTTTTTTCATAGGTAGAAGTACATAGAAGACGGGAGTGCCGAACTCGAGTCTACGCATATACATGTTTGAAAACCATATTGTGCAATATATATTGGGTACATATGTGCAGTATTATACATTTTTGGAAAGGTTGTTTCATGCTTATTACGTTACAGCTTTTTAATTTCTAAAGCAGCGACAATTATGTCAGTAAGTAATTAAAAAGTGGCATACCTTATTTTTTACTTTTTTTTTTTTTCGTCTAAGTTTTTCAATATTACCCACGACTCCCCACGCACAACTTTTTATGTTAATTGATAGTCTAACTATTCAGTAACAGAATACAAAAAAAAACAGCTGCGGAAGTTTGCGGTTTTAGAAAATATAAGAAATAATATGTGAAAAGTCGGAAAATAAAAATCAGTATCTTTTGCGGTTTAACACTGATACCGTTTACAAGGACAATAATTATATTACTTTTGGAATATTTTATTTATTTAGCGATAACAAAGGAATCTTATCAAATTTGCACTCGTTATGCGTGAGAAATTACTAGATAATTAGATAATCCTATTGGACAGCTGTCGGAAGACGCACAAGAGTCTCGCAACAAAGACTACAGAAACATGCGACTTCATCATGCCAAAAAATGTTCCCGGTCTGCAACAAATGAAGATGTCTTTAAAATGCTTTTGTGCACGTCAGATCCATATATAACAAGTTTAAGAAAAGCATACTTAAGAAATGTAAAAAATCTTGAAGAAGAGGCAATAAGTCTTTTAAAAGTGGTACCTGAAAGTGAACGCACGTTTACTGACCCTGATCCTGAAGCAATATAGGTACCTACCAAAATAAAAATAATATTGATATTTAGTTATTAGTAATGTTTGTAACGAGTTATATCAATCTCTGAAGCTACAGGACCTAGTATAGTTTGTTTGTTCAGCAAAAAAAATATTTTTTATTTTTTATTAATTGGGTAATTTTGTATTTAACCATAGTTTTAACCTTTTTGGTCATTAAAACTTGTCTTTCTTTTGGAATTATTTTTTTTACCATTTTATTTTTGTGTTGACCCATTTTTTTTAATCTCTATGACATATAACATATATATGTATATAGAAAAACA